AGCTGGGTGTGGTGGTTCATGCCTGTAATCCCAGCACTTTGGGAGGCAGAGGTGAGTGGATTGCTTGAGCTCACAGGTTCGAGACCAGCCTGGGCAACTTGGTGAGACCTCGTCTCTACAATAAATTTTAAAAATTAGCCAGGTGTGGTGGTGCACGCCTGTAGTTCCAGCTACTTGGAAGGCTGAGGCAGAAGGATTGCCTGAGCCCAGCAGGTCAAGGCTGTGGTGGCTGTGAGTGTGCCACTGCACTCCAGCCTGCGTGACAGAGTGAGACGCTCACTCAAAAAAAAAAAAAAAGTATATCAGCACACAATGAAGAATTATGTGAGTCTATGTGATGCTATTAATAGGTGGCTGGCTATAAAATAAATATACAAAAACTAATAGTTTACCAGAAGTAACCAGTTAGAAAATGTAAAGATAAAATTTCACGCACAATAGCATAAAAAGGTATAGTTTGAGGAAAGCTACAAAACCTTACTAAGGGAGAGTACAAGAATTCTGAACAAATGGAAAGATCATTACTTCTGGACAGGAAGATAACATTTAAGAGTGTCAAACACTCTCTAATTAAAATGTAAATTTAACATATTTTCAATAAAAATCTACAAAAGGTTTTTTTTAACAGAAAAAAATAAAGTCATTACGAAGAATAAATGCAAAGGAGTAGCCAATAAAAATTTTAAGAGGGTATCAGATTAGTTTTACTTTGATTTAGAGAATAAAGAGTATATGACCAGGCTCGGTGGCTCAGTCTGTAATCCCGGGCTTTGGGAGGCTGAGGTGAGTGGATTGCCTGAGCCCGTGGGTTCGAGACCCGCGTGGGCAACTTGGCGAGACCTCATCTCTACAATAAATCAAAAATTAGCCGGGCGTGGTAGCGCGCGCCTGTAATTCCGGCTACTTGGAAGGCTGAGGCGGAAGGATCGGCGGAGCCCAACAGGTTGAGGCTGTGGTGGCTGGGAGTGGCCACCGCACTCCAGTCCGGGCGACGGAGTGAGACTCCAACTCAAAAAAAAAAAAAAAAGTTAAATATAAATTGGGTAGATTAGCATTCCTCAAAATAACATAATAGGCCCAGGTGTGGTGGTTCATGCCTATAATTCAGTACACTTTGGGAAGCTGAGGTAGGAAGAATGATTGAGGCCAGGCGTTTGAGACCAACCTGGGCAACACAGCAAAACCCTGTTTCTACAAAACATTAAAAAAAATTAACTAGGTATGGTGGCTCATGCTTGTAGTTCCAGTTGTGTGGGAGGCTGCGGCAGGAGGATCACATCAGTCAAGGATTTGGAGGCTGAAGTAAGCTATGATAGCACCACTGCACTCCAGCCTGGGAAGTGAGACCCAGCCTCAAAAAGAAAAGAAAAAGAAAAAGAAAAATGAATAAGATAATAATGTTTATTTTTCCTGTTTACCTTAACTTAAAATATAACACATACATTCTTACTAGACTTAAAAAACAATATACCAAAAACTGCTGAATTTGGACACTTTAAATGGGTATGGTATATGTATTATATCTCTAGAGAGCTATTAAGATGCCATTTCCTGTTCTACTGCAATGGTTTAACTGATCTAGCCAAATAAATAATGGCGCTTTCAGTATCTTCCTTTAATGGTCTTTTTCTTTTTATTTATTTTCTAAATTTTAGATTCAGGGGTATACATGCAAGTTTGTGTCATAGACATATTGTACTGGTGGGAATTGGGCCTAAGATGGCCCATTTCCCAGATGCTGAACACTGTATTCCATAGGTAATTTCTGAACCCTAACACCCCTTCCCACCTCCCCTCTTTTTGGTGTCCCCAGTGTCTATTGTTTCCATCTTTGTGACCATTTTGCTCCCATATATGAGTGAGAACATGTGGCAATTGGCTTTCTGTTTCTGAGTCAATTAGGATAATGGTCCCTTAATATATAGTTTCCTGGATTAAAAACACATACTGTATTTTCCAGACTCATAGTGTATCATGCATTTCATACCATTCATATCAGGATCTGCTTTTGTGTAATTATGCTGGAAACTCCAGCTGTATTCAGGTTTCCTGTAAGTTGGACTTACAGATCAGTGCAAATGTATTTTCTTTGATGATGAAAACATTTCAGTTACTTACCAAATTTTCTCTTTCAATCCTCTGTTGTTCCCTCTGTCTGTTGAGAGCACTGTGATATAACTTAGGGGGATGACCAGCTGATCTAGGAATTATACTTTTGTTTCCTGGTTTTTCAGCCTGTCTTGACAGTTCTTTCAAAAGCCTCTGATTTTCCCGATCAATCTGTCTCACTTCTTCTCTTGAGAAAGAGTAGTTTTTTTTAGCTGCTACCGAAGGCTGATCAAAATGATGTTTTTGTGGTCCCTTTTTATCTAATTGCAGAAAAGCTACAGAAGTGAACAAAAAAAAAAAAGAAAGAAAAGAAAAAGAAAAATGGCTAAACAAAGTAGGTATGATGGAAAAGGCTTTTTCCCTTAAAAATACAAATATATTTATTCATGAAAAGGCATATGTGAAATAATGCTAACAACATTCACATTATAACTGTATAGGAAAAAAATTGGAGGTGGCTTAGTGTTTTATGCCCACTGGGTTCTTTGGGAATAAAAGCTACACACAAAACAAAAAAACTAAAAATAACTTAAGAAATGTATATGGTACTGGCTCTTAGACAGTTATAGTTTATGGGAAGAACCTTTTGTTATTTATGTCTATTTTATGTTTCACTGTGGCAGTTTAATAGTTGGGGAGGGTGGAAACCTTTGGGTTTTTGTTAGTTGTAGGGCATACTTCAAAACAAATGTCCTCAGCAATGACTGAGAGAAACAATGGCAAAAACGAACTCAGGATATTCTCAAACTATCAACTTAGCCTGAAAACACACAATAAAAGATTTATAGATTTTAACATCATCATTAAAACAAATATCTTCTACTGTAAAGGTCAATTTGTTCCTAATTAAATATAAAGATGTTTTTAAAACAATAAAATATTTTGCATGCTATAATTATCAAATGAAATTTTTATCAACATGCTTAATCCTTAAATTTCCATTTTACAACAATATTCAGTAAGCACAATTACTGCTAAATACCTATAAAAAGCTTCTAAAAGTTAATAAGCTTGCTGAATGTTTCAGATTAAGTATGTACTAAAAAGGAATACATTCTATCAGCTTGACAGTCATATTTAATTTGTTTTTTTAAGTAAATATTTTTATTAAAGTAAATATTTTTAAGGTAATCATTATTTGTTTTTTACTTGAAACAAATATAGATTTTTTTGAGTCAGAGTCTCTGTTGCCCAGGCAGGAGTGCAGTGGCACGCTCACAGCTACTGCAGTCTCAACCTGGTGTGCTCAGTTGATCTTTCTGACTCAGCCTTCCAAGCAGCTGGAACTCTAGATGCACACCACACCTGGCTAAATTTTTTTATTTATTGTAGAGAAGAAGTCTCATCATGTTGCCCAGGCTGGACTCAAACCCCTGGGCAGAGGCAATCCTCTTGCCTCGACCTCCCAAAGTGCTAGGATAACAGATGTGAGTCATTGAGCCTGACCTTTAACTGGTGATATTTATGTTCATTCTTTTTACATGTTTAGCATTTTATGTTGTTAAAAGTACAGTACTGTAAAGAGAAGAGGCATTTTTAACTTCCATTTAAAAATGAGTATGGGCTGGGTGTGATGGCTCACACCTGTAATCCCAGCACTTTGGGAGACCAAGGCAGGAGGATCACTTGAGCCCGGGAGTTTGATACCAGCCTAGGCAACATAGTGAGACCTCACCTCTACAGAAAAATCCAAAAAATCAGCCAGGCAGGGTGGTACGCTCCTGTAGTCCCAGCAGCTCAGAAGAATGAAGCAAAAGGATTGCCTAAGCCCCGTAGCTAAAGGCTATGGTAAGGTGTGACCACACTCCAGTCAGGATGACAGAATGATACTCTGACTCAAAAAAAATGAGTACGGTGCATAAAAGTCATATCACTTGGGAAAGGTCACAAAAACAGTTAGATTCACTTCCTTTATTTAAGCCAAAGACGCAAAGATTACTGAAATTAAAAAAAAAAAAAAAAAAGATTAACAGTAGCCTTCTTGGTCAGAAAAAGGAGGAAAGTGTTGGTTGTAATTTGCTGAAAACTATACCAACTTAATGACAAAACCTGAATGAGAACACAGAAAGACATGGAGGCATAATACATATTAAGTTATCTTGTCCACAAGAAATACCCATTTTGAAGAATTTAATGTTTTCTAGATTTAGTTATATATGAAAACCTTTAAGATTAAATTCTAAAGGGAATTAAAAGTAAGCTATTTTCCCCTAATGATCTTTTAAAAAAAGTTTTTACAAGTAAAACAAAGCAACAGCAAAGAAAAAAAAAGAAAAAAGAAGTGATATCTAACTTATTTTTTAAAAATTAACATCCTGGGGCTGGTGGCTTAGCCTGAAATCCCAGCACTTTGGGAGGCCGAGGCGAGTGGATTGCCTGAGCCCATGGGTTTGAGACCAGCCCAGGCAACTTGGTGAGACCTCGTCTCTACAATAAATAAAAAACTAGCCGGGCGTGGTATCACATGCTTACAGTTCTGGCTACTTGGAAGGCTGAGAGGCAGAAGGATTGCTGGAGCCCTGCAGGTCGATGCTGGGGTGGCCATGAGCATGCCACTACACACCAGCCTGGTCAATGGAGTGACTCCAACTCAAACAAACAAACCAACCAAAAAATTAGCATCCTAGATCTGCCTGCTGAAAAAAGTATATATGGAGGGCTTCCATACTGATAGCAGGCATTACTATTACATTTTCATAAAGTGGCTGTATGCTTTAACAAATACTTTAATATAATGCTATATGCTTTATACTTTTAATATGCAGCAACCTCAAATATATGATTCACCATTTTTCCAACTGCGATCTAAAAGTTTTAACCTGAACAAATTTTCAGGGATACAGACATTTACACAAATATATACATATTTAAACCGACATATTTAGAAATACTACCTTTCTCTAGTTTTCTTTTCTTTTCTTTTCTTTTTGAGTTGGAGTCTCACTCTGTTGCCCAGACTGGAGTGATTTTATTTATTTATTTTTGGTAGAGACATGGTCTCACTATTTTGCCTAGGCTCATCTTGAACTTCTGGGCTCCAGTAATCCTCCTACCTTGGCCACCCAAAGTGCTGGGGTTACAGGCATTAGTCACCACACCAGGCCTCCAATTTTCTTCTCTCTCTCTCTCTCTTTTTTTTTTAAGATTAGCAAATAAAGTTTATTTAGAAAGTAAATTAAAGACAGAGAGAGAAAGAGGAGATTCACCTCCCCAAGGTAGGGGAGGGGACCAAAGCCAGGAAACATGAACTGGCCACAGCTCAAAGAGCACATGGCCACACCATAGTTTACCAAGACAATGGCTGCAATGGCCCTCTAATTTTCTTTAATGAAACAATTTTGTTCAAGGTCTACACATATATCTTAATATCAGTGTCCATCATCACTAGTGACATTTCCTGAGTCTCCTAACATTATTTACTAGAGTATCAGCTTTACTTTCATCTAAGTTATATATAAAAATAGCTTTTTAAAATACATGTCTGATGTTATCCCTGGAAATTTTATCCCAAATCACTTTGAGTCTGCATTTGCATAATATAGTTCTTTTAAAAAATTCATCCAGCTGGCATACTTATGATCCCTCCCTATAAAAAAAAAAACCCAACAGTATTTGCTTTTTAAAGTGATTTTTTAAAAATCCAACACTACCGAACATGGTGGCTCATGCCTGTAATCCCAGCACTTCGGGAGATGAGGGCAAGAGGACTGCCTGAGCCCAGGGGTTCAAGACCAGCCTAGGCAATTTGGCGAGACCTCATCTCCACAATAAATCAAAAAATTAGCCAGGCGTGGTGGTGCACGCCTGTGGTTCCAACGACTTGGAAAGCGGAGACAGAAGGATTCCCTGAGCCCATCAGGTGGACGCTGCAATAACCGTGAGCATGTTACTGCACTCCACCATGGGTGAGTGACTCTTGACTCAAAAAAAAAAAAAAAAAAAGAAAATTTAACACTTGTAACGGAGAGGTTGTAATTCAAGTAATAATAACTAAATTTACTAAATTTCTTTGCCTTCTTTATTAAAAGCTTATCAGATGAGAAAGTCTTTGACATTCTTCTTGTTCCCTTTCTTTGAATCTGGACAGACTTGTGTCTGCTTTGACCAATAGGGTGCAAAGTGATGTAACTCTTAAGGCTATGGAACAAAAGAAATGCAGCACACCAACCCCATTTGTTGGAATACTTGGAGTCCTGAGCTACCGTATATGTCTGATCACCCTGAGGCTGCCAGAATGGAAGCAAATCAAAACACATAAAGAGGCCATGTGTTTAGTCTGAGTCAGCCCAGGTTTCTGCTTTATACAACTGAGTTTCGGGGTGATGTTAAAAAAGCAATGGTAACTAACACAGAATTTGATACCAGGAAGTGAGTGCTACTGTAACAAGCCTAAAATAGATGGACTAGATTTGATACCGGGTGTCGAGTAGAAGTAAAAGGGCTTGGAGAAGATTGTTGCTGAAGTCTGAGAGGATAAAGTGGCAGAATGATTAGCAACACTGCAGTGACAAGGAAAATGAAAACGAATACCTACTGCATTAGTGGATTTGGTCTAATGGATATCCAAGCAGAATGAATGTTTAAAGTACCAATCATTTATTTTATCCACAAAAAGATAGGACAAAGAGACATGAGCTAAAAACAAACGAAACAGGTCAGTTTTCAAGCAAAATTTAGAATATTAATGAGCCGAGACTTACGGTATTAAAAAAATAAAACTGCTGCTCATCCCTAGTCTCTCCAAGCAGAAGAATCTCAAAGTACTCAAAGGGCTGTAACTGAGAAATCACATCTAAGGAATCTCTGGACCTGACTTAGATCCTGGATGTCAGTCTTTGGAAAGAAGAAATGTATTTTTGCATATGGGGAGAACGCAAACAAATGTGTGGTCAGGAGTTGGACTGAAGAGATTTTAGGATGCTATGTGACTTCCGAGGTTAGGTCATAAAAGGAATGAGGTTTCTGCCTTCTTAGAACATGTGGGCTTGGAGCCCCAAGCCACCACGTAAGGAGTCCAACTATCCAGAGACTGCCACACGTGAGAAGCCCATGTGGACCAGTCGTGGTCTTTAGGTCTCCCCAAGCCCAGGCAGCTATCCTGTGAAGCGCTCGGGTGATTACAGTGCTGGCTGTCAAGTCAGCCATACCTTTGAGTGTCTCTACCCTCTGTGTGTTTTGGTAATTTGTTATGCAGCAATAGTAACTGATTATTTCATCACTTTTTTTTTCTTGAGTCGGGGTCTCACTCTGTCACCCAGGCTGGAGTGCAGCAGCA